TTCAGAGCGTTACAGGTTGAAGTAGCAAATATGGACGACAAAATTTCAGGAAATAGGGCCGCTTCGTGAGCCACTAGAGTTTTTCAAATGTTTACTATTTGGTGGTCGAAAGCCTTTCTGTAATGACCGTTCAGGGATTGTTCTATTGTAAACAGCGGAATATGATCAACTAATTCGAACAACCCTCTGTCATGACCAGATCGAGGTTTCTTGTAAATTGACAAAACGCCTGTTGAATTAACATACCTGAATCCACTGAGTTTAATTGATAGAAGAGTACGACAGCCAAAATAAGCATGGGTGTGTTTCCAGCACACCTGAGTGAATATTCTTGTGGAAGACTGAACCCACTTATACCCAGAGAACCAGGTTGTTACCGAGTGTTTGACAGAATATAAAACAAGTTTTCCAAGGCAAGCTTTCAGGCAGAAGCTATAGCGAGACAGAACAATTAACACAGAGAGATGAAGACAGTGTATTGCTGAGGAGTATTATCATTCTGATTGAAATTTCGGTTATAAATTATTTTGAGTTGTACCATTTTATCTCAACTAGGAAATTTCATCAACAGGGGCCGTACAAATGAGTTACTGAGTAGGGGGAATCGGTTCACTCACAGAAAGAAATGGGAGTGCAGGGCAGATCCAGAGCACAGCCAGCACGAGTCTACTTCTAAGCAAAAGTTTGGGATTTTGTAGCGGATGGTGATTGTCTAACCTCCCGAAAGCGTACGAAATCTCACAGATTATGATTGATTGCTAGGCGTCAAGCACAGAATATTGTGTAGAGGTTGAAAGATTTTTGAAGTGTCCAGGTAACATACTGCTCATAAGGTCTCTGCTCTTCGCTTCAACTAAGATTCAGTTGATTCCCCGAAATTGGTGCGCAAATGAGTGTGTTTCGGCGATCCAGGGAAACAGTTTCCCATCAAACCAATATCTTACTTTGTGATTAACTTGCGGTCGTCGGTAAGACAATGTAATAGTTCACACGCTAGCTGATGGTACCACTTTTCAGTTTGTCTTCTGGTTGCGTCCCGATTATGGGGGGACTGAAATATAGATAAACTATGGAGGCGATAAATGAATCCGGAAAGTTATTTAGTCCCCTCTCTACCGATTAAACTATCTCCATTGTTCAGTGTGTGAACCAGATCGGATGGACGTTCTGCATAAATAATTATTCCAGGGTTTTTAGCTTTTGTCATAAGCCGACACTCCTGGCCTTTTCACTTAGACATCTGATAGGATTTCAGTCGGCTTCAATGCCAGTCACACTGTCAAAATACAGACACCGACCAGTTCATGTGTAGCTACTGTTTACATCTTACTGTGTCGTTCAGTCCACCATCTTCACAATATACAGCAAATTAAAACAGCATTCTTGTTCGGGATCCAATAAGAAGCTAGAGCTCCGATGAGCTGAGCCAAAACGAAACCTTTCAGAGCATCAATTGAGTTGATGTCTTTTGCTGATTGAAAAAAAGCCATTGTAGACAATGGGCTGCTCATTGGGTGTGCCACGGGAAGTGCATTGTACTTCATGTACCACGGTTACTGAGATCATTTCGATAGCCCATCAACGGTTTCGCCTTTTACGGTAAGCACAGTCCCTGAGTTTCCGTCCAGTCTGTGTTCACCTAAACTGTATGTAATCAAAGAAATGTAGCCAGTTGCAAATTATGTTGGTTAACCGAAGACCAAAATGAGTCCCCATTGACACTCCAGTCTATGATATTCTTGAGCTGAATGTGCTTCAAAATGCCGCCTACCGTCTCATTTGATACCATATTCAAGATATCGCTGTATCGTTTCGTGTTCTTTAGTTCATTCATAAAAGCGCTCGTTGCTTTCGATCAAATTCATTTCGTATCGCCACCTCTTTCTGTCACTGGGTTTTTAGTTGTCGGAATGAAATGTGATTTCTGTGAGGATATTGATGATAGCTACTTCCCATGCTGAATGTACCAGTATCAAAACCACCGAAACCAATAAAGTTACATCTATGCCCCATCAATCGTTTAGTGGTACATTCACAAAGCGTGGAGTGGACTTCCAGAGGTAACATTCCGGACCACCCTCGACGCTGCATTTCATTTGTCCCCAGGCCCATGAGCACAAACAGACCGGCAAACCGTCTGATTGGAACATGACGAGGCGACTGAAACATGTCAATGATGGATGTCAGGGGTCAAACTAATTTATACATTTGAGTAAGACAGTACAGCACAAACAGACCGGCAAACCGTCTGATTAGAACATGATGAGGCGACTGAAACATGTCACTGATGGATGTCACGGGTAAAACTAATTCATACATTTGGGTGAGACAGTACAACACAGGAATCACTTTGGCTCGTTAATCGGGCACTGGTATCATAAACTAGTCAAAGCCGACTTCAGTACTCAGAAAAATTGATCGCACGTACACTCTGAGTAAACCGCACGTTCAGTCTGCCTGATATTTCCACGATGCTTGTAATATTTTCGATCAAATGATGATTATAAACGTCTTGAACCACTCAAAGAGGCTAGCAGAGCAAACTAGCCAGAGTTGCTGAATTGAGAGATTGTGGGCACTTGATAGGAAGATGTTTCAACATGTATCAGAAGAGTGCTTGAGGGAAAAGAAAGCCACTGCTAATTAGTGGCTTGAAGTTTTGATTACTGTTCGGAAGATAGATTTAGGGACATCGTGCTAGCTGCCTCAAACCGCGCCCTAGTAGCGAAGGCGACAAAGTTGCCGTCGGGGAATACTGAACAGCAACGGCGGAATAACCTCTACTCCATTTATGTTTCATCAATGCACCGGAGATCTAAAGACGTGGAGGAGTGTTTACGGGGCATCGATGAATAAAAAAACACAGGTAACAAAGTGAAAATATAATCATTCATTCGTTGCCATACAACTCGAAGGAAGCCATTTATGTTTCATCAATGCACCGGAGATCTAAAGACGTGGAGGAGTGTTTACGGGGCATCGATGAATAAAAAAACACTGGTGACAAAGTGAAAATATAATCATTCATTTGCTGCCATGCAACTCGAAGGAAGTAAGCATTACCAAGCCGATACTGGAACAGACGCATTGGTCAGGTTTGGCCTACGGGCTACCGGCTCTAATCACTGAGCTACCTCGATCTCAGTAATTAGTTGCGTGGCTTGAACAGATGATCTTCATTTTGACATGTTCTTCCTGAGGGATGCCACCCGATTGATGGAATAACTAAATGGTAAGCCGTCATTCTTCTTATCAAGGAGAAGGGGGTACGGAGCAGTTCTTGGTTGCCTAGCAATAGTAGCTTCGTAATGTTCCGGATCGGCGATAAGCAAAATCTGCCACTTGCTGTACATTTGGCCAATGTCATCAACTTTTCTTTCAATCATTCCAAGGTAATAGTCAAGTTTAGTCCCAGTAGACTTTCTATTGCAACGCCATCTGTCTGTCTGTCCGTCTGTAAGCGCGACAGTCAAAAGTCAAATGAATATTTTATGAACGCAATAAAGTAGTTTCTGTTGGAATAATTAAGTGGAACGGATAAAGGCATACCAGGAAAAGTTAGATGCGATATTGGTAAACACTGCTTTTATGAGCTGACAGAAAGCTTCTGAACGTATGTCAGAGGAGACGTTCATTTATTCTTGGATATCCGCTGGCGGACAACAGTCCTTCAAAGAATGGTATCCCTGAACTAGTGTCAAACTGGGGCTCAAGATACCAAATTAAAGATGGTTACACTTCTTGTTCAGTGAAGTGTACTTGAGTAGGGTTGAATTAACGGGACCCTCAAGCTACCGTTTCCCTGACACATCATTTTCAGCGTGGAGTTAACTTTCACTTAGTGCCTCTCTCATCTCATGCTTGCAACGTTCATAACTCGTTCCGTCTGAAGAAACAAAACATTATCAATTTGTCTCAGTTCCCAAGTAGCCCACTGATGCTGTCGCCTGGGAACGGATGTAAATTAACCAGACAGTTTTCATAAAGGAAACTACTAACAAGATTATTGAAAACTCTTCGACAGTCCACGACTGGTTTCGCCCTTCTTGGGGCTCATCAGGTAGGCGCAGTCCCCGAGTTTTCGTCAACCTTATGTTCTACTTGAACCAGTTGAGTCTCTCGTGAAAACCAGATTGATTTGCAGATGAATGGATTACTCGAAAACAGTCCAATTTCGATCCAAGTAGTACACAAGGTTGACGGAAACTCGGGGACTGCGCCTACCTGATGAGCCCCAAGAAGGGTGAGACCGGTCAACTGGACCGTCGAAGAGTTTTCAGCAATCTTGTGAGTAGCTTCTTCTATAAAATATGCGCCCTCGTGGAAACCAAATTGATTTGCAAATTAGTTTATTTGTCGGTAACCAGATAGTTGTACTAACCTCGTTCTCATTTAACCAGCTTTCTTTTCAGTGACACTGACATGGCTTCTCTGCAGTGATCACAGAAGTTTTCCAATGGAACCATTACATTTAGTTTCATTCTAATTGGAACTCGTCAGCAGTGCACATCTCAAGAGGATGCCCTTGTCAGTTTTTCTCCATAGGTTGGCTTCACTTGCAGGAAGAAAGTGCAATTAAAGGCCTCAACTCTCCTCATACCAGAAGCACTTTGTTCGTCCGCTTTCTGAATGATACCGAAGAAAGCAGACATCCACAAAAAGTACTCTAATCTCCGTTCGGAGGCAATTTCGTTCAATTAAACTGTTTTCCCCTCATGCACACTTGAGAATATAGGACTGATCCTCGGGTGACACAGCGCTAGAAGACCGAGTAGGTTTTTGACTCGACGCCATTTTGTCTGTACTCGAATCGCATTCAATCCGTCGTCTAAAAAATTATAATTTTATGCATAGCAAGCGTACAATTTCTCTCCTATCCCCTAAATAAGCGCCGATTCGCGGCGAATCCGTTAACTAATCCACTCCACTTTGCGGTGACAAAAATTGATCAGTTGTTCCAAACCTAATCAACAAATACTTTTGTCCTAACATCTTTTCAGCAACCAGGCATGGCGGAGGAGGTAGTGCTCAAACCCGGAGAGGAATTCCTCTGTACACAATGCAATCTGTCACTGATTGGTCAACGTTACATCCTCAATGATGAGAAACCCTATTGTGTTGCGTGCTATGAACAGTTGTTCAGCCACACTTGTGAGCTGTGCAAGGAGAAAATCAAATGTGACTCCAAGGTAAACCAAAAAGCCTAATTGATGGTTTTTATTGTTATGAAAGGCCCACTTACCTAATGACGCAATTAAGTAATTAATTTTTGATTTCAAAGGATATAGCCGGAACGAGTGACACATGTCCACTTATCTACTTCCGCGGTGCTTATATACTTATTTGCCTGAGAAAAAGCACTTCCGCGTAAGTGATATCAGTCCCACAACCATTTTCTGGAAGCCGCTCTTCTCCACACCAAGCAGTGAAGCGAAAAAACCAACTCAGAATAGTTAGGTACGGCAACCAGCGAGCACAACAGAAGCGTTTGCTGTCCGATTCTTTCACCCAGACTTGTGTGCCCGGACGCAGTATATTGTCAGTCTACGATTTAGAGACCAATGAAATGCTCAACCTGAAACCTCCGGACACATTTTATGATATGTTAGTAAAAACCTAAAAATGAATCAAAAGACATTTAAACTCATGCTCGAGAAGTAGATCGTTGCATACTTCCCCAGGACACTCTAAGTTAACATCTTTCGAGACATTTTGAGATTCCAGTCGGTCGATTTCAATAAATTCGTCTGTGTGTCTTTTTAACCAAGCCCGGATGTCTTCGCAATGAGAGGGTGTATACCACGCGGCTCAAAGGTTGCTTATCCGTGATCAGCACCCCCTTGACATTTTCACATGGTTTACTTGCCAGAGACGAGTTAGCGTCCCTAAATTTCGCACAGCTACATACTACTAAAACTTTCGGTTTGCTACTGCTTCTTCTGGCTGACTGTAAGAGCTGGAAACTTTTTTAATGGAATCTATGGATCCAAAAATCCACTGAATAAATAGAAAAATAGCATGTCTACTCGAAAGCGAGAACGGATTATTTTCAATCAAGGGCCGTCAGACATCTGGAAAGAGAACAAAAACGGGTTTAAGGCTCTTTATCCAAGAGGGATTCACAAGCAAAATGAATAAAACTGAGAGATATCCGCTGGAATCACGCTAAACGAACTAGTTTCTGGGTATAGATGCCGTTTTCCCTACAGGAGGACGCCCGAAAAATTCCTAACATGCTTATATAACTCGCAATTCACACAATGGTCTGGAGATCATGTATGAAAAACGTGAAGAGCGCATAGAAGTTTAAATTCAAGCTCGTCGATTCTGTCATAAAATGGTAAAACCCCTTATTTGTACTATAGACCAACTGTGATAGGTCTGGGATTTTATCAGGTTCATCAAAGTAGGGTCAACTTTCATCAAAATGTTCTCCGCCTGCTCTGCTGACTACCGTGCTCCTGTAAATTTAAATCTGTTCCTTCTGTAATTGGAGTGGCCAAACGGGCGCCAGACGGGCGGAACGTCAAACTTTAAAGAAACTCTTAATGACTGGATTCTTAATAACCGTATGGAGATGGATGAATGACCGTTGTGGTCCAGCAATTCAATGCTATTCCCTGAGGTGGCTTTCATAAATCGCTGACAGTCCTATGCACTATATGGGTAAGTGATCCGTGAAAATCCCAGCTGACCTGCGACACACTTCATGGCTCATCTGCAGCAAATACACCTTAAACAGATCCCCCGCCGATCGATAAATCCATTCAGTGCAACCTCTGACAGTCAGATATTCATAAGGAGGTTATCTATCTGAATTCACTAGGGAGTTGATCAGTTTGGCGGACTAAAAAATCGAAACATCAAAGTAATAAACACTTAAACCGACTTAGTTTCACTAGGTTCTCGGCCCGGTGGAATTTAACTTAATTCGAGACAGACTCGCATTCATATATCTAGAATGAGCTGATAGAATCATTCATTCCAAGTTACATGTATCCCATAATGCTCTTCGTAACCGTTCTGTCGGGATATCCAGTACAGGCGGAGTCAAGGTCATCTTTACCTCATATGAAGGTGGTATCATCTCCTATGATGATTTGACCCCATGAGCAGTTCCTTATCTCGGGCCAGATTAAGCGGTTTATGTTTAGTTACCTTCCGTTTACAAGAGACTTTTGTGCCAGCGCCCAGTAGCTTCAATGAAATTGAAGTCCAATTTCGGGAGCTAGTCACTTAATCCCTCAATCACGAATGAGGGTCTCCCTAGAGGATGCAAAGTGTCATCAAGTTCTAACTGTATTTTGGACAAGTTTGACAATTTTTGCTGAACATTCTACACTACTTTTCTTAATTTGTTCTCACTGTATTCAGCTTAGTAAGAGTGCCCGTGTACTTACTCACATTTTGACGTGGTTTACTTTCTTGTGGTAACTAGCGTTGCTTATTCTGGCTAGGCGGTAAGATGTCCTTCATATATTTTCAGTCAGTGTAACGGGAAGGCAAAACAGAGTCGGAGCTGGGTTTCTATACGGTAAGTGTAAGTGTACGGTAGTGTAAGATAAACTCATAGATTATACAAACCTCGACAGTAGATACTCGTCCAAAACAAATGGTCCACTTGGACTACAGAAGTACAGAGCAAGCGAACAAACAGGCTCCCACGTGCGACAGTCACACGTGCACAAAGTCAGCTACATATGGCCGGATGACCTTAAGGCCAAATGGGTGAAGAGGTAAGGACAAACAAACGTCAGTTCATATACACGCACTAAACACAAAAATGGGGCGGGGGTTACAAATGGAGAATTTCAATTGTCAACGTAATGGATGATACACTCAGAATGAGTCTAGATGATAACTACTATGGTTTACACGATTCACTGTGAAGCTGTACTCTGTCCCGACAATGGTAACCGGGTTCACTGACAAAAGAACTTAGACAGAGTTTCTTTGAAAACGTTCCGGGTCACATAATCGATCTCCACAGTTCGTTCACAGTCAGGAGATAATCTGTGGCCGATATGGCTAGCTGGGGGATCAATCGTCTAATCGTCTAATTCCTACATAACAGAACCGCACTGTTTGATATCCGGAGGGTTGAAAGACCTACTCTATTGCTAATTAGCCTTCACAGAAACGTTTTCGATCATTAGTTTCAAGGTTTCTGTGGACCCTACCTCTATCGATTAAAACACCGAAGTCCTATTCAGCTATCAGTACCTCCCTAATGGCACACATACGTCAGCTCATTGCCAGCTAATTTTGAAAACGTACATTGTGTTTGGTTGCTATACAGAGCGTGATAACATTTGATTAAATGGACAATAACGATAGGCCCCGTTTTACCAGAGGAAATTTTATTCTACTTTATTATAAGTTGTCCGCTGCGGCCTAAACTTTCTGTACCAAGTCAATTCGAACAAGGACTACCGAGGTTGGAAAAGATTTGTTGTACCCAAAAGGTCGTTGCAAACATATTTTCTTGGGCAATCCCTTGGTTCGCCGTTCTAATAATCGAGGAATTCTATGTGAAATCCGGTGAAATCGGAGTTTTAATTTCTTTTCTCCAGGAATAAGAAGGGTAACCTTGACTAAGGCCTGTGTGAACCACTGTTCTCTGGTTCAGGATTTCGGTCTCATAGCGAGAAGCAAGGACTATAGAGGACATGACCTTGTGTGACGGAACAGTACTTAGCTGCTCACGTTAGTTCAAGCTTATTACACGTAACTGCCATTCGATGCCATTGGAAGGCCCGCAACCATCCGAGCGTGTGACCAGACGGGAGAAAAAGTGGCCCACGCGGCGGGTACTTGGCACAAAGCGTGTAATCATCTAACTGATCCTCTTGACGCCGTTCTGTCTTGTCTGACAACTGCCAAATCCTTCAATATCATCTGTACAATGACATCGTTTTCATGTTCAACAAGCATGTTACCAGTAGAGAAACTAACCAAAAAACAGTCATCAAGATAGATGATCTCTGTAACCTGGTACTTTCTATTAAATACACATGTTTTAATTTGATATGACCTTGAAGCCCATGCTTAATTTTTCAGGAATGATGTATCTAATTTAGTGGCTGCTATTCTCAGTGTGTACAAAACTGGACTTGGAGAAGGCTAACCATAAGCTGTTCATACGCCTGGGTCTTAGGTGGAAAGATTCCTGTATCACACGAGAACATACTGCACCAGAAATAAGACGCCCTAATCGATGCCATTTAAGTACAAGACGAACTTGCGTAGGAAGAGAACACAGCTTCCACAAGACGGAAGGCTGTATGACTCAGGCTTGGGATGCTCGTGTGCATACGAAAAATCTTTGCTAATCTGCGAAATTAGAATACCTAATCGTTATGACGTAGCGTCGCTTAGTTATCTAATGACGGTGTGACTTAGTTATTTAAACGGCTGCTAGCACAGGGTTTCGAGTGGAACTTCTGATGTGAAAATCGGTTTCAAGCACATTATTAATGAAGTTTAATTTAGTAGCATGGTACATGGCCTTCTGTTGTATTTTGCGCTGTCTTTACTATGGCTGAGAGGAGACACTGGTGGAAATGTTTTGGTGAGTGACCGCATGTCTCCCTCCGCCAGCAACAGAGGCCATATCCTACAATTTCCGTCTTACTTTATGGTCCTCTCGCACCAACAAACAAACCTTGCGCATATCAGTGGAAGGAAGAAGGCGTTCGCTGTGGAGGTATTTATTAGAAAATGCCAACTGACTGGTTACAAACCATTGGGCAGGGAAGCAAAACTCTCATTTGCATCTTATCTACAAAAACTGGACATCTATCTTCTCCTCATCACATTTCCTTGAGCTTTCCGAGATACTCACCGACTTCAATCATTCATTGCTCAAATCCAAGCAACTGTAACAAAGCGACTCCACAAATTCCACGACAGATGTCGCCTTTTCAATAAACAGCGACTCCACAAATTCCGCAACAGATGTCGCCTTTTCAAAAGATGTAAAGCGAAATTCCAAGAACAACACATACTACTCGCATGGCTCCCCATCAATAGTATTACCGTTACACCAGTTTGTTAGTAACGCAAACGGTGGCGTCATGGATTCGCGGTGTCGGATAGCAGCGCGCTTCATTGCTTCGGCTAACTTTTCCAAATAAGGGACAGGATTGTTACATTTTTAGTGCAAAAAACCTTGCAGTAGCCGAAAACT